AAGTTTTCACTAGAAACGGCCTCAAGCTCATAAAAATTGTTGAATATTTTGCTGTAATTTTTTTATTTTGTATGAAAGCCTGTACCTTTACAAGAAAATAAAGCTGCCAATGAAGAAAATCGATGGATAATTAAGAAAGGAATGAGTAGTGAAATGAAAAAGCGAAAGGCTTTTTTGTATGAAATATGAGCAGAAAAGAGTGTTACTCAGGTGTACACGGCGTATGAGTAGCATTCTTTCCTGCTCATTTTTCATACAAAAATCTTTGTGCCTTTTTTATTTGACCACTCATTCCTTCTTTCCAATCCAAAGATGATGCCTCTTTTTATTATTACCTTCATTACCTTCATTTTATTAGCTCGGGATGTAACTATTTAATATTGATGCGCCTAAAAGATGCAGCGATTTCTATTCTCAAGTTACGTACCTGCTGACAGTACGAATGGCAATTATAATAGGGAGGTTTTAGTTTTTTAAACCATAATTTTTCCCATTAATAATGGTTTGAAAATGCTTTTGCTTAGGAAGTGTACCTAAAAAAATACAGTTTTTGTATAGATTTCGTACTGAAGGAACAATTTCCTTTCCCAACACTGAGGCGAAATGTTAGCACACCTGTCAAATTAGAAAATAGAAATTGCTCGGCTACAACTTGGCGTGCAATCAAACGACAGCATGGGCTTGTGTAGTGGCATGATTCAATAATACAAGGTTCGATAAACTGATAGTTGTCTCTCTCGCACCGCTCCCTTAGCAGTGGCACCGTGTTACTTCTTTGTAAATTTACATGGAAACAGTGTAGCTTTGGTGTGAAATAGAAGTATAAGCTTTTGTGAAATATGTTTATTTGTATATGCATATGAAGCATATTTAACTGATGAAAACATAAACTGTTTTTAAATTGGATGTTTACATCAATCTCATAGTAGTCTTATTTTAAGTTTGAGTCATTTTGCAGTTTTTATACTGCTAAATAGCACATAAATTACGTAATTCACGTAGATATATCAATATTACGTTCAACATTTTGTTTAAAATGCCAGATTTCCTGCAAATACATAGGAATTTACAAAAAGAAATTTCACTAATAATTGCCTACTTTGCGTACTTCTCTACTTCTCGCACCAAGAGATGGCATTCTTCCCCTTTCTCCGTCCTTCGTAAATGCAACCTTTTGTAAGGAAGTGTCAAACCGCAGCTGTCAATAATTATCTAACCTTGTATTATTGAATCATGGTGTAGTGGATTATGTGCAGTTCATATGGTTTACACGTATTTTATTTAGACAGGCTGCACGCCGCACACCACAAGCCCTTTATGTGTTCTTCTTCTTTATTGGCGCTGTAACCGCCTAAGCGATTTTGGCCGAGTCCAAAACAGCACGCCAACCATTTCTCTTCTGTGATAACTGACGTCAATTGGAAATGCCAAGTGAAGCCAAGTCCTTCTCCACCTGGTCTTTCCAACGCAGAGGAGGCCGTCCTCTTCCTCTGTTTCCAGCATCGCGGACCGCGTTTCTATCCATTCGAACGACATGGCCATGCCAGCGGAGCCGCTGAATTTTAATTCGCTGCACTATGTCTATATCGTTGTAAAGCTCATACAGCTAATCGTCTAAATCGTCTGCGATATTCGCCATCACCAACGCGTAAAGGTCCGTAAATCTTTCGCAGAATCTTTCTCTCGAAAACTCCAAGAGCCGCCACATCAGATGCTTTCATTGTCCATGCCTCCACGCAATACACCAGCACAGGCGTGATGAGTGACTTATAGAGTGTGATCTTTGTACAACGAGAGAGGACTTTACTTCTCAATTGCCTACTCAGCCCAAAGTAGCACTTGTTGGAAATCCGTTGGATTTCAAGGCTGACATTATTATTGGTGTTAATGCTGGTTCCCGAATAAACGAAGTCGTCTACTTTTTCAAACTTGTAACTGTCAACAGTGACGTGGGTGCCAAGACGCGTATGCTCTGACTGTTTGTGTGATGACAGGAGATACTTCGTTTTGTGTTTACAGTTTTAATTTTCAAAATTTTGTTGTTGTCGTCGTTGTTGTGTTAGATTTACCAAATTGTCCCGGTTTGGCAACGGAGATATCTGGCAGCCCTATATATTATGTAGGTCATAATTTTCTCATTTTACCACTCTTAAAAAATGTACCAATTCTGAAAGTTATGTCGCCGGGAAAAATTTAACAAAAATGGCACAATTCGGCCAAACCGGCAACCGTGCCTATACATGCTAAAACTTAGCAATGGGGTGCTCTAGAATTCTTGCAAATATGGAATAGAATTTTGCATTTCGTGCAATGCGTGCAACTTGCAAGATTTCGAAAATATTCCTAATATAACCACTTATTTACAGTTGATGGTCAGAGCGTTTGGGACTTATACAATATGTGGGCACATGGCTTCAATTCGATACTGATGATATTGGATCACATGCTGGTGGCATTCCCTTCACGCATTGCACACACTGCATACCCATTGGTATTGGGCTTAGTGTATGGAACGTTTTCGATGATTTATTATTTTGCAGGAGGTCTCGATACGTAAGTGAATCGTAAAATAAATTCGTTGTAGTATATAAATATTTGGACTTCTTATTTACATAAGCTATTTTAATAATTTATGTCACTTATTTTTCATAACGATTTTAATACTTTATAACAATGCAATATTTATTTTCTTTTCCTTGTAGGTTTGGCAACCGATATATTTATCCGATACTCGATTGGTCAAGCCCAGGCATGGCTATATTAACCTGGTTTTCCAGTCTTTTAATGATTTTTGTCTTAGCCTTGATACATTTTGGGATGTATAAATTGCGAATATTTATATATAGAAAAATAACATACTCCAAATCGACTATAAATATTTGAAAGTTTATAATTTCCCATGTGTTTGTATAAAAAACAAACATTATAGGCAGTATTAATAAATGCAGAATTGTATAATTATTAGATATACCAACATACTTTATTACATACATGTTTAAAAATTATAAGAAATTGATTTCGAAAGTACGTAGCACAGAAAAA